GTAGTGGGGGGCCCAGAACTGGACACAGTACTCCAGATGTGGCCTCACCAAAGCCGAATAAAGGGGAATAATGACATCTCTGGATCTGCTGGCAATGCTCCTCTTAATGCATCCTAATATGCCATTAGCCTTCTTGGCTACAAGGGCACACTGTTGACTCATATCTAGCTTCTCATCCACTGTAACCCCCAGGTCCTTTTCTGCAGAACTACTACTTAACTGGTTGGTCCCCAGCCTGTAACTATGCTTGGGATTCTTCCGTCCCAAGTGCAGGACTCTACACTTGTCTTTGTTGAATCTCATGAGATTTCTAGTGGCCCAATCCTCCAATTTGTCTAAGTCACTCTGGACCCTATCTCTGCCCTTAAGCGTATCTACCTCTCCCCCTAGCTTAGTGTCATCTGCAAACTTGCTGAGGGTGCAATCTATCCCCTCATCCAGGTCATTAATAAAGATATTGAACAAAACCGGTCCTAGAACCGAACCTTGGGGCACTCCACTAGAAACCGACCTCCATCCTGACATCGAACCGTTGATCACTACCCGCTGGGCCCGGCCTTCTAGCCATCTTTCTATCCATCTTACCGTCCATTTATCCAATCCGCATTCCCTTAACTTGCTGGCAAGAATATTGTGGGAGACCGTATCAAAAGCCTTGCTAAAGTCAAGGTATATAACATCCACTGACTTTCCCATGTCCACTGAGCCAGTTACCTCATCATAGAAGCTAATCAGATTGGTCAAGCACGACTTGCCCTTTGTGAATCCATGCTGACTATTCCTGATCACTTTCCTCTCATTCAAGTGTCTCAAAATGGACTCCTTTATGATCCCTTCCATGATTTTTCCAGGAACCGAGGTAAGACTGACCGGCCTATAGTTCCCTGGATCGTCCTTCTTCCCTTTTTTGAAGATGGGCACTACATTTGCCTTTTTCCAATCATCCGGGATTTCGCCCGATCTCCACGACTTTTCAAAGATAATGGCCAAAGGCTCCTCAATGACATTTGCCAACTCCTTCAGTACCCTTGGGTGCATTAAGTCTGGACCCATGGATTTGTGTACGTTTAGTTTTTCTAAATAGTTCCTAACCTGTTCTTTACCCACCAAGGGCTGTCCATCTTCTTCCCATCTTGCGTCGCTTAGCACAGAAGTCCAGGAGCCGACCTTGTCCGTGAATACAGAGGCAAAGAAAGCATTGAGTACTTCAGCTTTCCCCACATCCTCTGTCACTAGGTTACCTCCTTCATCCATTAGGGACTGCACACCCTCTCTGATCACCTTCTTCTTGTTGACATGCCTGTAGAAACCTTTCTTGTTATCCTTCACATCCTTAGCCAGTCGCAACTCCATTTGCGCTTTCGCCTTCCTGATAACCCCCCGGCATTCTCGAACTATACATTTAAGCTCCTCCCTAGTCATTTGTCCAAGTTTCCACTTTCTGTAAGCTTCCTTTTTGTGCTTAAGTACACCAAGGATTTCCCCTGTAAGCCAATCCGGTCTCCTACCAGGTTTGCCTCTCTTGCTACGTGTCGGGATGGTTTCTTTCTGTGCCTTCAATAAGGCTTCTTTAAAATACTGCCAGCTGTCCTGGACTCCTTTCCCCTTCATGTTAACATCCCAGGGGATTCTTTCCATCAGATCTCTGAGGGAGTCAAAATCTGCTTTTTTGAAGTCCAAGGTGTGTATTTTACTACTCTCTTTCCTTCCTTTGGTCAGGATCCTGAAATCTACCATCTCATGATCACTGCTTCCCAGGTTGTCACCCACCTCTACGTCCCCTATTAGTTCCTCCCTGTTTGTGAGGAGAAGGTCAAGCTGTGCACGGCCCCTGGTCGGATCCTTCAGCACTTGTACCAAGAAGTTATCCCCAACATTCTCCAAAAACTTCCTGGATTGCCTGTGTACTGCCGTATTGGTTTCCCAACAGATGTCAGGGTGATTAAAGTCCCCCATGAGAACCAGGGCCTGCGATCTGGAAGCTTCGCTCAGTTGTTCGAAGAAAGCCTCATCTACCTCATCCACCTGGTTCGGTGGCCTGTAGCAGACACCAACCACAACATCACTGCTGTTTGCTCCTTTAAACCTGACCCATAGACTTTCAACAAGTTTTTCTCCCTCTTTATACTGGAGTTCAGAGCAATCATAGTGCTCTCTTACATATAGTGCAACTCCTCCTCCTTTTCTCCCCTGCCTATTCTTCCTGAACAATCTATACCCTTCCATGACAGCGCTCCAGTCATGCGAGTCATCCCACCAAGTCTCTGTTATCCCAATTAAATCATATTTCTTGGCCTGGGCCAGGGCCTCCAGTTCTTCCTGCTTGTTGCCCAGGCTTCTCGCATTAGTGTACAAACACTTCAGGTAACCAGTTGATTGCACTATCTTCTCCATTCGAAACTGGGGTCCTCCTTTCTCGCTCCTTGCTCTATGCATTTCTTCCCGGTATCTGACTTTCCCACTCCCCTCAGGGTTTTGAGGAGCCAGCTTTTAAGATTTTAAAAGACTCATCCATGCACTGGGTACACAGTAACACTTCCATATGCCTAATTCTTACCCATTTGGACCACTGGATAGAAGCAATGTCTATACTGGAGGGTTTTTTTGGGGGGGAGGGAATTTCTCACTGTTAGTACCACCCTGGTGACTTCTCTGGTGTTGGTAACAGTGGGAGTGCTAGTGTTGACCAGCCTCCAATGGGTACTAGTAGGGATGTTAGAGAGAACTTATTTTAGTAATCGTGTAGCCACAATGATTTTTAGTGGTCACACGGTTACTAAAACGCTCCTCCTCCCCCCCTGGGGGCAAAGGCCAACAGCCAGTGCACTCCTAGCTCGCAGCCCCACTCCCTGGGAGCCCCCTATCACTCTGTGTCTTAGTTGCCCTTCTCTAGGAACAGGCAGAATCCCACTAAAGATCACCTGAGCCTCAATTTCCTTGAGCATCCTCCCCAGCCTAGCATAGTCTCCCTTAATTCGTTCCAGCGAGAATCTAGCCGTATCATTTGTTCCTACATGAAGGATGATCAATGGATTCCTTCCTGCTCCCTTAATAATTCTCTTCAACCTCAGTTCCACATCTCGTATCTTAGCACCTGGCAGATAGCACACCCTTCTATTCTCTGGATCAGCTCTGGTTACAGGCCTATCTATTCTTCTCAATAAGGAGTCCCCAATCACATAGACCTGCCTTTTCCTAGTGACAGTGAAATTCTCTGGTCTATCTCTAGCTTCCTCTGGCTGCAAGTCCTTGCCATTCCTGTTTTCCCTTGTAATCCTAATGCTCATTATTGGTGTTGTCTCCATTAAGTCTTCCCCTTTATCTATGGGACTAGCCACTCTTCTCTTCTTCCTCACCCTTCCATCTTCATTATCTACCTGCTGTACCCCTTCTTCATTCTCCAGCTCCACATACCTGTTCTTGAGCTCTATTTTTCCTTCACTGACCCATCTTTTCCTCTGCCTGGTTCTCTGAGTCACATGCTTCCACTGTCCATTTTCTTCGCCCAGCAGTCCCCACTCTGAAGCCCTTGATCCTGCTTCCATCTGCATATCTAAACTTTCCCCTTCAGCCACGTCATGCCTTTGCCCCATCATCTGCTCAAACCCCCTTCTAAACTCGACCAGAGTTTCTACCTGCATCTCCAGTCCTCGGATCTTTTCTTCCATCAGCTCGATCAGGCGGCACTTCATGCAAACAAAACTCCTTTCAGGTACCCCCTCCAGAATCATGTACATACCGCAGTGTAGGTAACAACAGCAGACCTATCACTATCCATACCTGCTGTCTAAAAAAGGGTTTAAAGGAAAGGCAAGAGTACCTCGCTCGCTTCCCAACTCCCTCTCTAAACTCTCTGTTTGCAATCACCTATTTGCAAGCTCCCTGGTCGCTGACTCACTCCTTTATAAAGCACTGGACTGCCTGATAGTCCCTCCCCCTACCAAGGCTCAGCCAATCAGCAGAGGCTTCTAGATTTCAAATGTTAATTAGATGCCAACAGTTTCCAGCTGCCAGTCACAGCACACACTCCGAGGGGCGTGGGGGAAAAGGTAAAGAAAAAGAAAAAATAACACATCACACTCACAAACACAAACTCAGAACACAGCGAGAAAGCCCCAAACACAACTCACACTACAGGCAGCCACTTCCCTCAAGAGTCCTGTAGTCACTTCTCCCTTACCTGGAGAACTCCCTCGCTAAACTCCCTGTTTGCAATCACCTCTTTGCAAGCTCCCGTGTCACTGACTCTTCCCACACAGGTGCATGTGGCAGGTACACATACCTATGTTAAATAGATATGAGCAAGCACTTGAACTCCATATTTCAGAGATAATAACCCACTGGGATTACTCATGGAAATGTATACTCCAGTTATTGTTTCAGGATCTGTGCACTGATGTTGTCTTGATTCTGCATCAGTTTCATTTAGTTTGTATTTTTAAGGTTTTCTTTGCAACCACTAGGTGTAGAATCTTTTTCTTCTAAATGAAAGCTCTGGTAATAGATGGATTCCATCACCAAATGCATGACAGAAGAGCCAGCATCCTGTATATTACTCAGGACCCACTACTAAAAGGGGTTTGATATATCCTGTTGCCAAGATGCAACATTAAATCACATAGTTTCTGTTTTCTTTTACTACACTCTTAAATCTTTCAGGTATTTTCATAAGGTTACATATGGAATTAAGAGCCATTTTAACTAGTATAAGTGTACTCCTAAATATTTACAACATTTTGTTGCAGCAGTGATTTTTTGTTATTCTGAATCTAATCGATTTGTGTTGCCAACCTACTATAAAAATCTCTATGATACTATGCGATGCTTTGAAGTAAACAAGTTTGGACTATGAAGAGAGTTGCTGAGGAAGGAACGTTAGAGATTTTTAAAATATATGGTCACAAAAACATTTCTTCAAAACTATTGTGAAGTGATATTTGAGAGCTACAGATGTACGGTAGTGGACAATAATCTCTCTTCAAAACAAAAATGTATATTACCATGCCATGATCAAATGTGAAAACACCAACATCACGCCCATGATGAATATGATTCCGTCTGATAATGGGGTTTCCATGGTTTTTTACCCAAATCCCCGCCAATGCATTATTGGAGATCTCGTTGTCCTCATATATTCCCTGGCAAAAAGAAAATAAAACCCAATAATCAATAGTAATAAACATTAATACAAAAGCCAGAAAAAAATTAGAAATAGAAAAGTACCTGTGCATGGTCTGTAATGTAAAGTCCAACATTCTCACAGTCACTGATGTTACAGTGTTTGATAGTAGGACAAGCTCCCTGGCCACTAACACATACTGCAGACCCCACTAGAAGAAAAGTATACAGTTATCAAATATTAGAAGTATAGTGTATTTATAGATAGTCTGGCCCTGCTCTTACAAGAAAACAATATATACGGACACCTAAAAATGTAGCTTTAATTTAATCCATTTTATTAAAACAATGAAAAAGTTTATCCAGATAGGAAACTATTACCATTCTCATTTTGTAGATATGGAAACAGAGGCAGAGACTTTAAGTCACATGACAAAGGACACACTGGCATATCACTGGCAGAATGGAGACTATTTTGTGTATTTATTTAGGTTCATAAAAAATAGTTCATCCAACTTGTTTCACACACATTGAACAATATGCAGAAGACAAACACAAGATACAACAACTCTATACTCTCACAAGACTAACTACTTTCCCATTTCAGACTATGTACACCCTCAGTAATTCAGCATTTTCAAGGGCCTGGAGCAAATAAATATTTTGTATCATTCCAAGATGATCAACAGAGTATGACGCTGTCTAACTAACGGGGAGGAAAAGCAGGTTCTGGAGTAAAGAGCTCCTTTCTAAAAACAATTTCAACAGCGCCAGGATCTCATCTATGATATCTGTAAATATCACTAACCAGAGTGGAGTACTCTGTACCAGCTGTAATTTCCAAATGATCTTCAGGCACAGCTTCATGTAGCACACACAGTAACAATTTAAATCTCAAAGTGACTAAGGCTGTGATATACTATAGCAAGATCTGCATCTACTAGGATGGTGTCTAGCCAAATACACATTGGGAGGGAAACATGTTAATGATTAAGTTTTGTGCTGCATATGGATGGAAAAAAATTCTTTTCACTACAATTATCCAATTTCAGTAGCAGTTTTTAAAAATGAATTTAAACAGTGAAGAGGATACTAACCTGTACAGGTACTTCGAATGATACAGTGATCTATTATTGGACTGCAGTTCACGGTAATCTCTAAGCAGTGGTGTGCATTGTGGTGCTGAGCAGATTTGTCATCAGGATTGAACTAAAAGAATAAAATGTAGTGTTTTGTATTTTTTTTAAAGCATAATTTTGGAAATTAAGAAGTTCTACTCCAATTGCTTACCCTGATTGTCATATACCCAACGTAAGCATCTTCAGAACCCTCCATAAAAACGAAAGTGGAATCTCTAGTGTTTTCTATAATGACTTTATCTGCTACTTTTCCAGGTGCTGTAAACAAGAAGTTATTTTAAAATGTTTACTCTTTTCCTATTGAAAACTGAAAACAAATATGAAACAATTTCAAGTTCTACAAGTAAAAACAACACAGATTCTCAGGCATATGTAAATTAGGAGTGCTTTATTCTACAGAACATCAGTGTACTATACTGGAAAAGTGCTCTTAATACACAGCAATACCAGTAAAGCTATGCTTTGTACTAGCACAGTAAAACTATTCCCAGAGGCAAAACAAATTATACTAAGGAATGTCTACACTACCAAGTTTTGTCAACATTTAAAAGTTGACAAAACAAAAGTCACCAGAGGATGTTCACACTTGCTCCCTTTGTTGACAGATCATGTCCACACTGGAGGCACAATCACTGATACTATGAGCAATGCACTGTGGATATGTCCCACAGTGCAGTGTTGTGGAATGGCAGAGCTGATCCTTGCAAATCTTGAAATTCCCTCCAAGTTCTCCCACAGTAACCCAAGCTGCTAGGAGTGGTATCATAAACAGCTCCGTGAGTTCTCTGTGCTGAGGAAGGTCAAAGCAGGACACAGTTTGTCCCCCGCTCCCCGCAGCAGCCGTCTGCCTGCCACTATGCTCGTAATACTGGGCAGAGGAGATGCAGTTCAAGAAGGCTAATGGCATATTAGAGAGCACAAGGAAGAGCATTGCCAGCAGATCCAGAGAAGTGATTATTCCCCTTTATTCGGCTCTGGTGAGACCATATCTGGAGTACTGTGTCCAGTTCTGGGCCCCGCACTATAGAAAGGATGTGGACGCATTGGAGAGAGTCCAGCGGAGGGTGACCAAAATGATTAGGGGGCTGGAGCACATGACCTATGAGAAGAGACTGAAGGATGTGGGGGTTTGTTTAGTCTGCAGAAGAGAAGAGTGACGGGGGATTTTACAGCAGCCTTCAACTTCCTGAAGGGAAGTTCCAAAGAGGATGGAGAGAGGCTGTTCTCAGTAGTGACAGATGGCAGAACAAGGAACAACGGTCTGAAGTTATAGTGGGGGAGGTCTAGGTTGGATATTAGGAAGAACTATTTCCCTAGGAGAGTGGTGAAGCACTGGGATGGGTTACCTAGGGAGGTAGTAGAATCTCCACCCCCAGCGGTGTTTAAGTCTCGGTTTGACAAAGTCCTGGCTGGGTTGATTTCGTTGGGAGTGGTCCTGCCTTGGACAGGAGGCTGGACTTGATGACCTCCTGAGGTCTCTTCCAGCTCTATGATTCTATGATTTGTTCTTTGTTTGTTCCCCCAAACGGAGCACCTCACTCAGCTGTAAGATACTTTCTAAAGCTTTGAAAGTGGAGGGGCACATGCCTGCAGGCAGCAGAGATCAAAACAAAGCAGATCTATCAGAGGACAGGGATTGTGGGATACTGGCAGAAGCCAGTTCTGAGGACAAAACAAACAGCAGAGTCTACACTGGCTCTCTGTCAACAATAAAGGAAGGGGAAAAGAAAAGACTATCGTAGCGGAAGAAATTTTTTGTTGCTGAAACTAGGTATTTTTCCCAACAAGTCACATTGCAGCGTGAACACTCACTATTTTGTCACCAAAAGGTAGTTTTTAGTAACACAACTTAGTAAGTTCAGACAAACCCTATTGGTAACAATTCAGTTTTGCTACCTGTTTACAGCTTACCTGTTGCCACCATCAACCAGTACAGCTGTTAGTGAGGAGTTTGAAGAAAATCCCTGACCTAGTTATTCTAGCAGAAATCTGAAGGATAGATGTGGCCCTAGTTTAAAAGCAGTTACACTGGAATAAAAGTGCCTTTGCTAGTATAGCTTCCATTTTTCAGGGAAGCACTTTTTTAATGGTGTAAAAGCCACACCTAACATTAATATTGAATATACAAACCTTTTCTAGTGCAGTCTGGGCCCATGTGTTCTGCCTTTCAATTCTCTATTATAACTACTATGAAATTGTGTCCCATTAAAACAAACCAGAAATAGATAAAAATACAGTATATGTAGGAAAATAAAACTGATTGCAAAATACAAGGTAGGTTTTCTAATAAATGAATATGATAACCAGGCTCAGACTATCTTGATTCTAAAATGGTTACCATCTGCTGCTGTGTATGATCTGATATGAATTTTTTTAATTAAGATTTAATAAATGAAATCAGTACACCGTCACACAGTAGATCAAGGGTGGGGATTTTTTTTCGGTAGCCCACAGAGATATCAGCCAGGGGCCACACAAAAGTGGTGTGATGGTCTTTATTTCTGTAATTATTTTTTTAATTTTAGCATGATGTCTGAGTTGGCTTTTCCTTGTCCAACTGTGGCCACTCCTTCCTCCCTAAAGACACCCCATGCAGGGCAAGGACGGGGGGGGGGAGGTTTCCTTTCCTCCCACTCCTACAACGGATTCCCCCTTCCCCCCAACGTCTCCTTGACTGTTTAGGGGGCACTGCTGGCAGGTGTGGACACCCTATGCAAGGAAGAGATTGGAACCGGGGGAGGGGGAGGAAGAGGGAAGGAGAAGCTGGGCCCGCTGTGGCCTCCCCATGCTTGAGGGCTTCTCTTCCCTGGTCCCTGTCTGCCTCCTTATCAGTTTCAGCCTCTTCACAGTTGCCTGTTGGGGGTGGGGGTGGGGAAGGCAGCAAGCACAGAAATGCAGAGCTCCTGTTTACTCAGAAGCTCCAGCACCTGGAGTTCTGGCCAGGTCTCTTGAGTGCAGGAGAGGAACTGAAAGTGTCCACCCGTACTGCAGGGGAGGCTGGGGACGTTTTTAAAGCAGCCCCTGGGACTCCCCACAGTGTTTTACAGCAGATGAAATTGTTTGGCAGGCTGGAGGTTCCACACCCCTGTAGTAGATCCTAGCCAATGCATGAATGTTCTTTACAATCTACATAAAATAAAAAGTGGTATCTCCTCATTTCTCAACTACATACAGAGTGCTGCAGAAAAGTATTTTTAAACTTAATGTATTAAAAGTCTATTACAATTTAAAACTGAACTACAGTTCAGAATAAAGTTATCAAAATTAAGTGTTGAAATTATTTTAAAATTGCTAATCTACAAAAGTCAGTAACTTGAGGTGTGACTAGTAAGGTTCTTCAGTGTCCTTTACACTGAGTCTAGATTTAGATCCAATATTTCAATAAACACAAAAGTGTTTTGCATGCCATTGCTTAAGAGCCAGCAGAGGGAGCACAAGTTTTAAAAATATTTCTTATGCCTGTGTTGACATCAGTGATGTTGGTGCTCAAAAACAGTAGTAAGCAAAAGAGCCAATTTACAAACTGAAACCGAAATAACTATACCATAGTGAATTATACTATATTTCACATCTTTAGTTATTTTGGTACGAGTCTGTATGGAATACTCTCAGACAGAAATAAGGGCTTCTCTACACAATTTTTATTTTACTCTAACTGTAACACTTTGGAAATCCTTATGAGACCAGGTCTATACTAGAGGTAAAAGCCGAACTAAGTAACACAACTCCAGCTCCACAAATAGCATAGCTGGAGTCGATGTACTTCCGTTCAAATTTCTGCAGTGTTCCCACTGTGGGGGTCAATGGCAGAAACTTTCCTGTCAACTTCCCCAATGACACCAGTATTCCTCGAGGCATGAGCAGCAAGAGATGTGATCAGTGGTCAGTTTAGTGGGTCCTTATTAGCAGGGCTCACCAAGCGGCGGCAAGCCCTGCTCGCCAGCCGCACAGTTCTGCGCTCTGCGCATGCGCAGATTGCTCTGCGCCGGCTCTTCCGGGGTGTGATATACTCACCACGGGCGAGTAGATTACATTGTTTGTCGAGCCCTGCTTATTAAACCTGCTAAATTGAACCCTGGGAGATCAATCTCTGCAGTATCAATCTCTTGGTAAGTGGAGAAAAGGCCTGATAACATATTGATAAGCATGTTTATAGCAGTAAAATGCATCCATTCTAAAGGGTGGTGGCACAGCTGTCTCTGGAGCAGCCGGGCAGCCACCATGTGGCCCAGGCCCCAGCCCCGGCTCCAGCTCCGGCACATGGGGCAGCAGTCAACCACCCGGCCCATCCTGGGAGCAGTAGGGCAGCTGCCACATGACCCTGGAGGCAGCCCCAGCCCTGGGGAAGGGCTGGAACTGCAGCCAGGGCTGCATGGTGGCTGCTTGGCTGTTCGTGGGGTAGGCCAGGTGGCTGTGGTTCAGCTGCTCTTGGGGCCAAGGCTGGAGCTGGAGCCAGAGCCAGGGATGGACCCATGGTAAATCCTAGCCCCCAAAGCAGCTGCACTGCCACCGGACTTCAGCTCTAGTAGCCGCCCACCATTCGGCCCACCCTGGGGAAGTTCTGAAGGGAGGGTCAGGGCTGCATGGCAGGTGCCCAGCTGTTCCCAGGGCAAGGCTGTATGGCAAGTGGCTGCTGCATGTTGGATGTCCCAGTGGGACAGTCACACCGCAGCCCCGGCTCCAGCTCTTGGCAGCTGACATGTGGCCCACCATGACTACAGCACCAGCTGTGGGGAAGCCACCATGCAGCATTGGCCCACGCACTCTCCCATCAAGCCTACCACCAGCAGCTTACCATCCCTGTCCAAAGAAGTGAGTGCTGCTGCGCGAGGAGATGAAGGAGACTAAAATTCGTTATGCGCTCCCGCACAGGCACCCACTTCGAGGGAACTTAGCGTAGCAACTGCCAAAAGAACTATATTTGGTTCCATCACAACCCATAGGTTGCCAACCCCGGGTTTAGACTAATCTTAAGCGTATCCACACCGACTATATCTGACCCCAGGTTTAGACTAACCCTAAGCATATCCAAGGGGTGGGGAGGACTGCAGAGCTGCAGTTTGAAGTAGTTTTTTAAAACTCTCTCTTTTTTTAAACAAAAAAAAAACTGCCTACAGCAATAACTAACAAGCAAAACTCCATTATAAACAAAACTGGCTTCAGCAATAACTAACAAGCAGAGAAAACACCTGTCAGAATCATCAGATGTTTCCTGAACTAAGGCAAGAAAAATGGAAAAAGACAGCATGCCAAGAGTGCAAATTGATTCGTTCTGATCTGCAACGTGTTTTATTGACACAGGACAGGACATATCCAAATTGTTTCTACTGGTGACACTTGCTACAGAAAATATATACTATGCCTGGACTGATATAGAAAAGTCTTTGTAAGTGCTACCTGATATTCTTAAGATTTATTTGTAATATATCTGTTAAGAGACAAGAAAGGTTACACACCGAAATAAAGATGCTTTTCAAATTAAAATACCTGCACCAATCATAGTGATTGGAGATTCGATATATATCCATTCGTCAGTATATATACCAGAGTGAACAAAGATAAGTCCATCAAAATGAGCTTCCTGAACCCCACCAAGGGCATCCTCAATGGTGTCATAGTACTAAAAACAAAGAAATCCAGACATGAGTTTAGGAAAAAATAACAATGAGAAAAGTATGCATATATTGATATAAAGTAATTCAGAAACATACCAACATATTTTCTCTTCCTTTATACCTTGCAGGGTTACTGTAGAAGTGTTCAGCAAAGCCTGGCTTTACATGTGCTCCTTTGTACTGAAATAAGGAAAATATTACAAGATAAACCTGTAACTAAGGAAGCTTGTTGTGTATGTATATACACGTTTATATGTATATATAAACATTGTAAAAAGTAAATCACCAAAAAGGGTATAGTTGTAATAGTCTGATAGGTTCCTTAAAATAATTTGGAAATCATGTTCACTATTCATCTGAGGACCATGAATTGCAATTTTCATCATGTATACAAAAAGGAGATTCCCTTAGCTACATATCGAAGTGTTATTTAGTACCAAGGAAGAAGTTGTAACATTAACACTGATATCAACAAACAAGAAAGCAGTAAAAGATTTGTAATTTTTAAGAGAAGAAAGAACAATTATGGCCATCTTAATCTGACATCCTGCATAGCAGAGACAATAGAATTTGAAGTCATTCCTGAATCAAGCTCATAAACTTCTGACAGAGTATATCCAAAACATTAAAAAGAGATGGGGAACCTTTTTTAGGTCAGGTGCCACTGACCCACAGAAAACACTACTGGGGCCCACACACAAGACCAATTTAATTCTTCCGGTGGCTCAAGGTTGTTAGATTTCACTGCGAGCTCCTGAGCTCTGGGTTGGGGCCAAATATGAAGGGTTCGGTAAGCAGGGATAGGCTGCTATGGAGTGGGCTGAAGGTGTGGGGTCTGGGAGGGAGATATGCTGCAGGAGCAGACTGGGGGTTGGGGTGCAGAGTTTAGGAAGGAAGGAGGGTACAGGAGTGGATTGAAGGTGGGGTGCAGGGTCTGGGTGGGAGAAGGAGTGTGAGAGGGGGCAGGGAATTGGGACATATACCTGATGCAGCTCCCAGGGAGGGCACAGGTGCCTCCTTGCTGCTGTGCACTTGCAGGAACCACCCTCTGCTGCTCCCATTGACCACGATTCCCAACCAGTGGGAGCAACATGGAGACAGCAAGGGAGGAAGGGAAAGGATCAACTAGTTGACTGACTATCTGATAAGCATTTGCTTATTGGATAGTTGACTAGTCGATTAGTCTTTAACATCCTTAGTGGAGCCTGCAAGCAAGTGCAGGGACAGAGCTTCCCTGTGCTGCTGTTCCCTCAGCTAGGGAGAGGATGAACAGCAGTACACAGAGCCACTTCCTCCCCTGCCCACGCAGAGCCTGTGATCCAGCTTGCCTAGATCCATCCCACGAGGCTTAGGGTTCCCCCCAGCAGTGGGGAGCTGATGTTGATGTTCCAGTTGAGGGGGGTGGGTATTCCGAGCATTTCAGGCAAGCCGTGGGCTGAATCTGACCTGCAGGTCGTATGTTCCCCATCCTTGCATTAAATCTTGATTCAAAGACTTTAAGTGATGGAGATCCCATAGGTAAACTTTGAATAGTTATCTTCTCTGTGAAAAATGTGATTCTAGACCTTATTTTAGATCTGAATTTGTCTAGATTCAGTTTCCAGACACTAGAGGTTATGATTTTGTTTGCTAGATTAAAATGCCTTCTAATATCAGAAATATTTTTCCTCCCATGAAGGTACATGAGTTACTTGATCACAAACTGTCTTACTAACCTTTTCTAGGATAAACTAAATATACTGACCTTCTTTAGTTCCTCAACGTATGGCACATTCCTCTAGACCTCAGATTATTCCTGTAACATCCTTTTTAAACTGTGAACACCAGAACTGGCATCTGACCAGTCCTGTATACATTGCAATACTACTTCCCCATATATATATGGTATTCCTCTACTTATACATCCAAGGATTGCATACAAATAAAAGCATGAAGGTCCTTTTAAAAGGTGCTTGATTGCTTCAGGTGGAATTCAGAGAAAGGGGAAAGAATCAAATTTAATCAAAATGTAACTAGATTATGGTAGCTTTGCCCATCCCCCATTTTCATTCTATGCCCATTTGTGACATTACCAAAGTAGGATGGAGATTTTATTTGAACAAATCTTTATATTTGGTTGGATGAATTCCTGGAAGTTTTATCACATTACATTATCTTATCTGAAGATTCCTTCTGAAATCGTTCATTCCTGGAGACTTTAGGCCAATCCAAGAGGGTTGGCAACCCTATTCCTTGCATCTTTGCACCTGATTTTTCTAGACTAACCATTACTCCAATACTTATAGTCAAACCAAGTGTCTTTATTCAAAGTCTTAGAACATGAATACTACTATAAATATTAAGCTGAACTCATTTTCTTACTTTCTTGCTCCTTTACACACATTTTTGAAAGTGTGGTGCCTACCCATTCTTATATTTTGGATTAGAATTCCTGTAATTTGCCTTAAAAGATAATTGCTGCTAAACTCCTGGCATATAAATAAACTATTATGTCCTTTCTCATTCAAGACCAAATGCTACTGTCAATTCTAAACTTACTAAGAAAAGTGAAAGTATTCATATAAGTCAGTTCCATTAGGACAACAAAAATAATTCTGGAGGTTATCTGCTTGCCAAAGGCTATGACAAAACTCCACGGAATCAAAGATGAGTGTGCCAATCCACACTGCCAAAACACTGAGCTGGAAAGCTCACAAGACACTCCACCGCTGGAAGTCAAATTTTTGCAAAGAGTGATCCAAGATAAGTCACTTAAAAACAGGCACTTTTTCAAACAGGTACAATGATTTTTAAAACAGTTATTTATATTGTACTGTAACACTGCAAACCTTCTGTATCACCATCGAAGCATGACAGGAATATGAGTTTTTAAGAGGTGACTTGCAAATATAAGATTCCCTCCTCGTTTTAGAAATTTTACTAAAGAGAAGCAATACAAAAGAGGAAAAGTCGCCCCAACACCCTCACCCCCAACTTTTCCCTCCAAGATTTTAAAAACAAAGATGCATCTAGTCTCTGCCTAGTTGTTGAGAGACTCCTGTACATATACTGGCAAATTACTGAAGTCTGGTACTTCACCCCTGCAAACTGTCTTTAAAATTACAATATGGAATCTTCCTGAGGATGTGAAAAAACAACATTCATACCAGCTGCTGAAAGCTTTCTTTCCAGGGATTTGAGTGTTCATATTCTTCTGGATTAATCTGATAGAATTTACCAGGTTCTGGATGCATCATGGGACGTGTATATTCAAATACTTCCATATACAGTCGTTTCCTAAACAAAAAATGTCAGTCAATCAGAACAGAAAATGAAGGGTGTACTTACGTGGTAAAAAGTTATGACAGATGTATTACAATTAGAACAAACTTATTTATAACTTTAAGGGAGGAATTTTCAAAAGCATTCATTGTTTACTTTACTCTCACTGCAGTCAAAGATAAAACTCCATGGATTTCAGAGTTTGGCACGTACTGAGTAGTTTCAAAGTTCTCAACCCAAAGTTTTTAAATTCAAAATATTTTGTAAAAGTAGCTTTAAGATAAAACAAGTCCAGCTGTTGAAGACTGAAGAGATAAGACACTGTTGCATTTTGTAACATAAATTTGGTGCACAATTAAAGGCTCAGGTCAGCAAATGATTTAGATACATACAGGCAGTCCCCGGGTTACGTACAAGATAGGGACTATAGGTTTGTTCTTAAGTTGAATTTGTATGTAAGTCAGAACTGGCTCCAGATTCAGCCGCTGCTGCTAAAAATGACCAGGAGCTGACTACAGGAAGCTGGAGGCAGAATTGCTCTGCCCCCAGCTTCCTGGAATCAGCCACTGATCAGTTTCAACAACGGCTGAATCTCGAGCCTGGGACAGAACAGCTGGGCTGCCAGGTAGGTCCCTGCAGGACCAACCCGGCAGCACCCCAGCTGCTCTACCCCAAGGTCCACAACAAAATCCTGGTCTGCTGGGGGGGGCGCACTAGCTGCGCCCCCCCCCCCCCAGCAGACCAGGGACACCCAAGCAAAGCTGCCCAGGCGGCGGGACCCCCGCTGCCTGGG